GTGAACACAGATTGGCGTAATCAATAGCCATGGTTATTCGTCTTTAATCGTGATTTCCAAGTGTTCATTCCATCTTGCAGTTTATTGCCTTCTTCCTTTGACTTTATCACTGTGTCATATGAGAGTTAATTTACGGTTGATCTAGATAAAGTTTTCAAATTGTCAACGTTCAGACTGCTAGTCGACTTGTTTAGGAAGCAAGAGATGCTTGAAATTTGTGAACGCTATAAGGATAATCTTTGCAATTCCGAGAAGGTAAATGTCAAATTTAATTTTTTGTTTAAATTTTGGCCGGATGTCTTCAAACTTATCAGTATATTCGTGGCTAAATAGAAGGAGAGCACCACCTGCCAACGTGTCTATCAAAACTAAATTCCATGACAAGATAGGGTCTAGCGTAGTAAGAGATCCAGACAATTAGTTTTGCATTTTTGTTTCATTTAGTAATAAGTCACTTAAAAACACCTTGAAGAATCAACAGTAAGTTGGTGCGCACAGTAAATTGACATTCGTTCCGAACATAGATTCATACAACGGAAAGTTTTGATAGTCGATTGTGTGACTGCGGCCTTGTTGACAGAAACGTGAGTGTTTCTCAACTGTTTTCAGGTTTTGTATGAGTCTACCAGAGTATTAAGTCAACACATTTTCAAAAGATGACGTACCGATTAGCTGGCTTGCTTACCTTACTTGCAACAGAATCGAAGACTGCAATAGCTTTCATTACAATTTGTCATCTAAGATTTGATGAATGCCGGTTGGCTGGATCAAACTGTGAAGCCTACTCGCATCCACGGAACCTCACCCTGTGCCTTTGCTCNTCTATTTCACAAGACGATGAACAATTGTCTCGTTTGTAGTGGTTATTCCATTAAAAGAGAGGATAGAAGAGCGACAGGCGGTCAATTCCACGTGAGGATTGGGTATTAACTCAAAACCTTGGTTTTATATCTGGCTCAGTACTCGGTGAACCGGTTACTTTTAGATCGGACAATTCATCTATTTCGTGCATATTAAAATGAAGAACCAAGAACAAAGCACAAAAGTAAATTTCCGAGAAACAAAAAACTATCTGTGCAAAACCCTCGGTGAATATATATCGGATATTACAAGAAACAAGGCTATTGTAGAAAACAGACGTAAAGTGTCAATAGTATCCAAATCATAAATAATATAAAGTACATGCGGATCTTATTGCGATAGAAACGTTTGTGATGACCCACAAAGAGCACTGGACAGCTGTTTCGTCCTGTGTGGGACTCGTCAGCAGTGCGTACTTTTTGTGTCCCTGGCAGGACATGAACCGCGATTCTTCGGGCTGGGACTTCAATCCCTTACCCTTGAACTACACGATCGATGTCTGTGAGAAACCGAATGGGCCAATCCAAACATCCATCATCAAAATACATGTGAATCTCTTTTCAAATTATTGTTAAATTTGCGGTCAGAGATGTACAGGGGTTCTATTTGACATACCAAATGAAGCATGAACTGAAAAGCCGTACAACCGATTTGACTTGGTTGGGTCACAACAACAGCGTGAATCCATCGACCCGACTGAGAATCTAACCTGAAACTTCGATCTTTTCAGCACTAGCCTTCAAGGTTAATAGGGTATTAAAAATATCACTATCCTGACTACTTATTAAATTAGTTTAGTGCTGAAGTTGGCTAGGTTTGATGTTCTCAACAAGTTTGTAAAACATGCTGTACTATATCGTGCATAGGCAAATTAAAAGCTGTCTGATCAGCTCCCAAGTGATTAAGTGAGCAGTATGCTTGTCCTTCATTTGTGAGGTCTCGGAATAGCGTCACTACTTTCACATTGTCCCTGTTAGAATTTGGGAAAACTAGGTTAATTGATGAGTGAAATTATCTTAGATGTTGAATGATTGCACATACTCTTTCGTGCTTTTTCATCTGAAAGTAACGTCTCGCGCGCTAGATCGCTCTGTGTTCCAGTAGTCAGACACTAAATCGCCATTTCTCCCCCAAAGCTTGCTGGTCGGCATTTCATTATGCCAATAGTCTGGCAGGTCTTGTTGTATACTTGCAATGAAATCGTTACCATCTTCATCAGCGTTTTAGTGCAGTTTAAAAAAACAGTATCTGGCAGTGTATGTGCTGGGCCGAGAACCCCAACGTCACTGAATGTATTAAATACTTTATCCAAAATCATCGTCACCAGTATCTACTACATAGAGATGATGCTGGCCTGAATAACCAAGGCACTGGCGAAAGAGTTTTATCTCGTGTGATTCGGTAAGAACAGCTTGTGGATGGAGCACAGATGGAGCAACTCAAGGTAGCCTATGAATGTCCTTTTCTATCGATTCCATGTGGAACGTGATCACTTTCCGTAGCTGAGTACCACAATGTGAAGTTAAATGCAGCAAAATTGGTATTGTATACCCGTTCCATTAATATGGAATTCCAATCGCGATGCACAGTATTGTTAGGGGCTCACAACCCAACACGAGGCAGCGTGCTGATCCGAACCGGGTTAACCATTAAATGAAGAATGATTGTGAGAATACTCGACTAAACTCGACTAAAACTAGGTCAAGCTGGCTCACGGGCAAAACTGCCTAGAAGATCATTGTCTGTCATGAACAACCGGATCACGTGATGGGACGATTAATAGTATTTTATGGACGAATGAGTATTCAAGAGTGCTCTAGACTTGAGTTTCCCATCAGACAGATAATCATATAGAGCAAGTTTATTGTGATATCTCGCCGCGAAATTCTACTTTTCCAGTTCTCGTGACGTTGCTGTTTTGTCTACACCAAAAATGGCAGGGCATTACAGTTATTTACTGATTCATGAATCGAACTCACTCCAATGAGACAAATGCTGGGATCTGACTTGTCATCATCCAAGAATAATCTTACAGNCAGACCACCCCTAGAATATTCCTACACAGAAGATCATAACATGAATCGGGTAGCTGACAAGCAATACATTAGAAGAAGGAACGTGATCTGTTGTGCCAATTTTCTAAAGACATTAAATCTACCGGTCCTAATGACCAAATATCCGTCCCATCTGATGAGTTGCTTTGGAGTCAAGAACAAAGCGCCTTGTCCTTGAAATCCTGCATATGACAACCAGAATAATGTAGAATGTGTTGCATTGATCAATCAGGACTGCGGTAACTACCAATTCCAGACATTCTAAAAAAGCCCTAAGTTTTCTAGATAAAGATAAATATAATCTCACGGTCGTAGAAGCTCTTACACTTCGTTATATATGGTTTGATCACATTTATGCAGTTTCTGGTTGGGTATTTTTCAAAGTTTAATTCATTCCTTACCATCTAATATCCTGGATCTGAGTGCAATCCGGAACTGTTTCCTCTGGTGAAAACAGAGGTAAGTTAGCTTCCCCGGCAGTGGTCGTCAGTGGTCAGGAGGTAGCACGTACGGGATAAAACCGAAAAATGCTATTTGATTCCGAGGTTAGTAGACTCCAAGTGAAAATGACTGTTCCAACTGATCAAAATGAGAGAGGGCACAGAGGTTATCAAAAGTTGAAGTTATTATACATGTGTCATGCCTTTTGGTTATTTTTCTTCTGATATGCGCGTATCTTACCGCTGCTGTGCCATCAGCCATCATCACAATGAAGAAATGGTAATTTTATGTGGTTCAACTGAATGAAGTAACAATACAAGTAGATATCACTACAAATATGCTGTATCTGGTGTCCATTCCCATTATCGTGAATGAGGCTCGGCATGGGGAGAAAAAGATCTGACCAAGACTATGGTGAATCATGCACTTCACCAAGTATATACATATATGTATATATGTTCAGGGATATTGTAGCATATCGTACTATTTTAAGAACAAACGAATAGTCTGAGGGTGCATTCAACTTCAACGTAGTATACATAAAGTATATAATTTGTACGGGATTTAGAAGAAGTTCAACTAAAACTTGAAGCTTTCAATAGTTTGTGTTATGTCGCCTGTAATATAATGATGATTGTGAATCCAATAATAGTCAGGATTACTCAGTTTTCATTCTGCACTTGTGAAAGCATGTGCAATTACCAGCCGGTTGTCTGTTTCACCAGCATATTACCTTTATTTTGAAATTGGTGCCCATCCTATTTTATTGCATGAATGCAAAGAGATAATAGTGTCCTAAGACTGACCAAAAGTCTCGCACAAGATATGGAACCAAAATATCTAACCCTTCACAAATGTCAACCATTATATATATCCTCTCTAAAACTGGTTTAGTTACTTAGGCCATGAATAGTTGGCTAAAATTAATCATCTTTACCGTCAATTACCCATGTCATTCATTTATTCTGCCTGTTTGCAAGTATAAATCTCATCGACAAACCAACCAATTTGTCATTCAGTAATTGACTCAAACGTGCAATCAATTGATTAAACATGACTACCCTCAATTATTCGGTCAGTCAACCATTCCGAAAGTTATTGACTAGGGCAATTATTGAGTCAATGAGTCTCTGAGGCAAACAGATAAGCATACGGATAACTTAGTAGGTGGGCATTTGGATTTTGTAGTTTATTGGTCGGGTGATTGAAGTGTTATGTTGGAATTGTGAAATGTTCAGTAGCCTCAATGGGACTGGAACCCATGCATGGACTGCGCCTACTCTTTTGTGCAGCGAGCGCTATACTTGTCGCAGCAGTCAGCTTACATGCTACCTGTTAGATGCCATTCGCCTGTATAAGTTAGATGGGCGATTTGAATGTGAAAATATCAGTGCTATCGGTGTGGCCTCGTGGCTTAGCTAGTATAGCGTGCGCTGTACAAAAGAGTAGGCGGAGTCCATGCGTAGTTTCCAGTCCCATCGAGGCTACTGAACATTTCACAATTTCAACATTAGGGTACTCTTTAATTTAGTCACAGCTAGAATTCTCCTTTGCACATTCGGCTTTGTTCTACATGCTAAACCGTTATTTATTCTGCTCTCCCTATTGTGTCATTTGTTTCAGTATCAGTCACTAAACCTCCTAATGGACTTCTCATTTATTTGGCCGGTAAGTTCAGTTCCAGTATGCCCTATGCCTAATACACAGTATCCTTCATGAGTGTTGTGTCTGTGTTACAACAAAACTCGGTCATTCGCAACAATAATGTTTTTAGCCTACCCCTCCTAGTGTCACACAGGTCACAGGTTGTGCGGTTTTCTATGTAGAGAATAATGTGAAGACGAACAAATTCGGTCGTGCAAATCGGTATATCAGTGTTTGTTTCAGAAAAAGCCCTTTGTATTTAACAAGAAATTCGCAAGTTGAACTCAACACAAATTTCTAATGCGTAAAGTCAAAAATACCTCGGTTCAACTTTGCTAGAAGGAAACCCAAATTGATTTGAAGCAATCAGAGGAAATTTATGACGGGGTCACGATGACCCCAACTAAACAAATAAGGGATGGATGGACTAGTGATCTCTTGTAGTTGACATTGTCACGATCGACTGAAATAGCCCCCAACCCTGAATAAATCCGACCGATTTTCCGTCATTCGCTTACCTAAAAGCAGAACTCTTTCAGACTAACTTCATTCACATTATTATATCCCATATGTTTCATAAATCCATTTTGTTCAACACTTATGGTAATCACAATATTTGACTTTTTCTTTCTATTCGTCAACGTTTAGCGGCGAGCGGAAATCCGGAAGAACTTGAAGCATGTTTGGACGAGGAAAAGGTAAGCGCGGATAATAATGAACTTGATTGTGCAAGATGTGCGTTGAATGCAAGCGAAGTGTTGTATAAAAGGACGATCGATCTTAATTCACATACAGACGGATAAAATTTTACCCACTCTCTGTATACAGACTAATCCTCCTCAGCGGAACTGCGGGGACACGTTACAATGTTCTGACGCCTGGCATAAGTGTGTAGTCCTAGGTGAGACACTCCCATTTTTCGGGTGGCACTACATTCTTTTAGTACATGATAGGAATTACAGTAAAAGGCGAAATCCCCATAAATAAATGGGTAAAGAGAACAAAACTAAGCCCCACCCTACACGTGACAACAGTATTCAAGAGGAGAGCGGATTTGGACTTTGTACGGTCGAAGAAGATGAGCTGGGGTGAAAAAACGTCTGGAGTGAAATTTAAAAAAAAATTAACTTGCGCGCACCACGAGAAGCAAGATTAGCTATAAAAGGGACCAGTATAAAGAAGACGTTATAGACTATCCAAGACGGGAAACAGAGTCTCTGGAACGCAGTTGAGTTGAATCGAAGAAATAGGGGGATAATGAATGGTGTTCAACAAGATTAAAAGAAGATAGGTTTTCGAACTATCGAATAAAATATTGTTTGCAACGCCTTGGGAGATGTGTTCAAGTTCGGAGCCCAGTGACATATTAACTCTGCAATACGGTCAACAACGATATTGGTTTGGGCATGGCGAGCAATGCGGCAGGAGATCGAGCAGTGGAGGATGGCGTCCTCGTCAAAAGAATGTACCGGATTGACAGTTTTGGAAAGGAGATCATTGGTAAATAGAAGAAAGCGAGTGAGCGCAAGTACCGAACCTTGGGGAACACCAGCATTTACAGGGAATGGCTGAGATAGAATGACATCAACCCGGACAGATATAGTTCGCATACTAAGGAAACCTGATATCCACGCTGCGAGTGCTGGATGGAACCCAAATATTAGTTGTTTGGCCAGTAGAACTTCGTGCCGAACTCGGTCGAATGCCTTTGATATGCCAACTAAGACCAAGTGTGTTTCTCCGTGGCTGAAGAGTGCAGCTGAACACGATGCGACAAGAGCCAGCACGTCACTGGTGGTACGTCGCTGTCGTAAGCCATACTGGCGGTCACTCAGTAGTCCTTCCCGTTTGACGAACGTGCGTAGTTGGTCGGAAGTGACAGTTTCAAATACTTTCAAATAAAACACATGTGAAGAAAATAGATCGGCAACTGTTGGGATCAGAACGATCCCAGCGTTTGAGCATGGAAAATATCAAGGCGTGCTTCCAATGTGTCGAGAGAGAAGAAATTTCGAGGGAAAGATTAAAAATGCGACGTATAGAGCCAGCTCGAGAGCCCACATTTTGAGTACCATGGGTGGAATACCGTCCAGACTGGATGGTTTGTTTGCATTTAGAGACCGTAATTTTGACGGATTTTCCTAGTGCTAATATCAGATGGAAAAGAGTTGCCAGTGATGAAGGAAGGTGGAGGTGTAGATACATGGGGTAAAAGAGGAACTGGAGGCAAAACTGGGAAGCAAAATCTTCAGCTTTCTAATGTGGTCAACTTACAAGATCATCAGAGGGGGGTGGTGGCCCGGTGGTAACGTAATCAAATTATCACTCGGCGTGTGTGTTCGAATCCCACCACCACCGCCTGACTTTCCCATTTGTGTGTTGTATGGTGCCTCTTGAATTAGTCTCTTCCTCCTTCCTGAAAATCTTATCATTGCACATTCAATAAAAAGGAAGTAAAAATGAAAAGAAAAGGGACAGATAGAGGGAATTGGAATTGCAGAAATTACGTGAAATTGCTTTGGCAAGGGACGGAAGTTTTCGGTTGCTGGTGGTAAATGAAGCGCTCTTTTGTTCTCGGTCGTGGAGCATCTGTTCCTAGCTTGCAGAAAGCGATGGTGGAAGTTGGGATTGGGCGAGCGGTGCCAGCGGCGGAAGACTAAACGTTTTAGGCGTACAGCACTTGGGGGATTTGGGTTTGCCGGGTTGGAAAAAGTGCGGAATAAATAGATTCATACTTTGAAGAACTACGTCAGGGAAGTTGAAAACGTCCAAAGAGAAACAACAGTCGTCCCAGGGACAAGAAGCAATGAAATCACGGAAACCGTCCCAGTTGGATGAGTTGAATTGGTGGTGTTAGCACGCCTCTTAGGTTTACCTGCTCCATATGTGATTTCATCTAGCCCCGCGAAAATAGTAGACCTATCGTAAGTCTGGCAGCTACCTGACGTGTTCGGCAGTGAAGAAGAATGTGTACGTATGTATATCTGGTAGACCGTGGTGTTGAATTTTGAGGACAGTTTATGGTGAATATGAAGGCTATGGCTCTTATTTGACAAGGCCAGTGGCTGCTATCGGGAGTGCGGTTGAAGTCGACAACAATAGAACTAATAAGCTCGTCATAATCCCATAGAACCCCTAAGTAAATAAGGGGGCAAAAGCACGGTGATTTAAGTTGTGTAAGCAAGATGGAATAATGAAAACCTTTACACTTTTGAGGAAACTAAAGGCTTCAAAGATTTATTTCGGTCCTTAGAGCAGAAGCACCGTGTTGAAATGCTGCTAAACAACTGAGACAAATGTTCGATGGTATATCCGATAATGTGGTCACCGTTGTTGGGAAACGGTGCTAGACGATAGGCTGAAAGAACGCAGAAATCAGGATGTGAAGGAAATATTTCTCTGCAAGTGGTTTGAACGTTTGCAACTGGTGTGTGTTTTGAGCTAAACAGTTAAGCGATGAGCACTAGTTGAGCAAATCAATTAATGAAATATGCTTAAAGACTTTTCGAACGCAGTATACAATAGGCCACGAGTTGTGCACCGGTGATCGGTGTGTTGTTTCAACTTGGGTAAACAGAGTGTAATGAGCTACTAATGGCATAATCAGTACTGAATATTTTTTCGGTATAATAATAATGATGATGATAACAATAATAGCAAAAGCAAAACATACTGGTTTTTCTCCCTTTCTTTTTCTCTATTTCGTCCCCATGTTCCCACGGTGATGTATGTGCTTGTTGCGTATTACTGTGCAACCTGTCGTATTCTGAGACACACATTCAAAACATAGCGCTGACTGAAGACGAACAACCAGTTCCCAATTTTTTTCTTACAGGACATAAACTTTGTGGATTCCCTAACCGGCATGATGCCCATCCATGCGGCCGCTTCTTGGGGCAATCCTAAATGTATTGAAGTAAGTGAGTCATGTTTGAAACCCGCATTACTAAGAGACAGATGGCCTCATGCCAAATTCGTTACGGAGTATAAGCGTAGTCCGTAACTTGTTGGTTTGCAGTGTTTTTGAGAATTACTTCACGTTCTCTATGATTTTTTTATATTAGATGAATCATCTGCAATTCAGTTCTTTTTCATGAAACCAGTCACAGTATAGTTCGCGGGTCTTTGCTTCCCTATCCCTTTATAAATAGAAAACCTTTCGCTCATCCTTCTGATAAAAATAAAAATCGTAGTCAGTGATGTATGCCATTGTGAATTTCTTTCTCTGAATCGGCATATTATCCGTCAAATTCTTTGGGCGGATCCCCAAAGTAGTTCTAGTTTCAATACATGATTCCCGTATAGAAGAAAGCTGTTCACATTCTGCTTCCAACATTTGGCAGCTGGGACGTTAGTCGAAAGCAGATGCAGGAGGTGAAGAAATCCCCAGGTTTCGAAAGTTCATTATTACAGGTGAATTTACTTCCCTGCCCAAGGAAAGGGCTATGCACGGTCAGCATTTACTTAAATGTTGATATCAACTACTAGGGTGGAAAATAAGTGGTTAGTTTCAATTTTAGATACAATTAGGAACCAAGAGGGTTTGATGCCTCTGAACAATCGAATGGGCTAATCCAAGCTTCATACTTTCAAAAGCCTTGCTATTTTCCAAACCCGCAGAGCTGGGATGACAAATTGCAATCAAGAAATTTGAACATACATAGATAAATAAAACTATCTACCACATTCTTTACTCACCAGTGGATCATACAACTTGGAGCGTCAGATGTGAAAAATCAACCAGTGTACTCCTTGCGTTGAGCACGCTGAATTACCGTGTTTTTACATGCGATAGAAGTGTTTGTGATAACTAACAAAGAGCCTCTTACCTTTTAGCAAATGAATGGGCTAATCCAAGCCTGCTCCTCTGATAAAGTGTTTTCACTTCTGAAGCTCCCTTCGGCAACAATCAGACATCTTGGTTTCATTGCTTTAGACTGCATGATGTCCCACTAACGACGGTATTTTACACCAAAGTCGTATCAAGGAATTCCTTTTGTCTTTTAAATAATAATATCTATCCAAAGATGCACTTTTAAAATCTTTTATTTTAATTTTTCAAGTATCAAGGTTGGATTAGCCCATTTGGTTGTTCGCAGACACCAGGTTGATGGTCTTAGGTGTGGGTTTCACTCGAGGGCTTTTGTTTGAAGTTTTGTTGAAAGCACTGTTTTTAACTTTCGTTTATCTAGCCACACTTTTGTAAAGAAATTCATGGTTTTTGACACATTGTGCCTCCTGAATAGATCAAAAAATAACGCGTAGCCGAAAATGGATCCCAAAACTTCAACAAAACGAACGATCTACCAAATTTATACGGTACTGCATTAATAAACGATCAATTAGCAAATAAAAACTGTACAAACCTCAAAGTTATCTCGAAACAACTTGAAAACAAAAGCCAAGTGTTACTGTGAGCGTAATTCAACAAATCTGAACGGAAGAAAATGAGTCTGGATAAGATTAGCACGCTCACTGTCAAGCTGCACTCGAACCAGTCAAATGTGAGCGGTCAGGTTGTGATTGAAACAAATGGTGTACGAATGAAGCACAAAAACAAGTGAAGTCAAATAATGGGATTGATGTGTAAATAAACAAAGGAGGTGGAACATCAAATGTTTATGTATGTATGAGGTGGATGGTTTTAGGCGAATGGAACGTGAAATTCACAAAATGTGGAACCAAGGTGGGTTGTCTGGGTTTTACAGGAAGGATTTTTAAAGATCGATCAGTGCACACATTCAGAACAGCCAGACCATATCAACTATGGGTATTTAGAAAACTTGGTCCAACTGGCAGTCGCGAGTGTGCATAGATCTTTTGGCTCCATCAATACAGGTATTCTTGCCAGGAACATGAACCTTACCTATCAGTTTAATATAGAACTGTTGCGTTGAAATTTTGCTGTTCCGAATTATGATTGACTTATAGTGAAAGCTCTTCGATCGATCGGACCGCGACATAGCCTGAACATGGTTTAAAATGCTCTGTTGTATGTATATTTTGATAAAGGAGAAGTGATTATGCGTCATGATCAGTAATTTCAAGCTGCATAAAACGTATTGTACCAGATCAGATACCATCCGTTTTCTGAAAACCTCCGTACCCCGGTGAATTTTCTAATTTATCTGTTTAATTGTTCGTGGTCAGATTTCAAATTTTTGTTTTAGATGTAGATATCAATATTCAGGGTTTAGCTAATCTCCGACCAGTATCTCTGCGTGATGGTTAACAGTTTCACTATGGTCATCAATAATGATAATGGGTTAATTTTCTGCATTGTTTAGCTCAACGTGCCCCGTCAAAATGTGTGAATGAATTATATCCTACATAATCAAGTTATGAACTGTTAACTTAAATTCAGAATGTTATGTTTGTGTTCAATAATTCAAAACTTTGCATAACAAGCAGAGTTCAGTACTCGTTATAAGTAAAATAGACTCATGTTTAGTGTTTTTCAATGGTTTGATTTCCTTTTACTCTCTCGGGCACATAAATATACAGCTAACTTTCACAGGGGAGGTCTGCGGCCGAACAAAGGCTGCCAGGGGAAAACAGAGATCGGATTGGTGTTGGTGAATAACTTTGAATAAGGACCTCCATTACCTTAACATACTGACGGAGATATAACTTCATAATTTAAAATAGCGATACTCCCAAGTTGTTGAACATAGTCCTTGTTCTGCAGAGATGACAGTTTTCGTTATTGACTCCAGATTTTACGAATGTTTTGTTCCTGTAGGGACAAATTGTATGCTTAGTTGACAAGCTATTACTAATATGAATTATATGCGTCTTGCAGGCAAAAATTCACTTCTCTTCTTTTAATATATGCCAGTAAGTACCACATTTTTGCTGGTCCTAAGCGGAAACAGTAGATAAGAAAGACTTGCGCATTCACAGGCGATAGTGCGTGTAAATATGTGACTTCTACTCATGAGTCTAGTGGTGAGCTATCCGAATCCTCTAAATACTTGTTAGCTGGATTTGACTACAGAACAGCCACATATGATGTTGAAGATAAACAATAATAAAATATTGTTTGACCGGATGAATTGAGAGGATTTTGCCCGACGATGGAGTCTGGAAGATAGCCAGTTCAAACCAATATCAATTATCAAACATTACTACTCACAAGTAACTGTAATTAAAACGCAAAAAATAAAACTACAATAAATTATCAAACCGTTTCTAATCCATCCATGTGGATATTTTTCGATATACAAATTCGACCGCTTCCGCCAAAAATCATCCATTCCTANCCATTCCTACCGGACAACTTTTGGTTCATTCTAAATTCAAAGGGAGCACCGCCCGAGGATGTTGAACTTTCAAAGGATTTTAAAATAATCCACCCGTCAAAAGAAAACGACCAGAATAAACTGGGATGTATAAACAGATCACAAAGAGAGGAAGAAGCAGTATTGGCAACCGTAAATCAATGCATTGGTATGCAGATAGCATTTGTTAGTCGAAGTCATGATGCGAGTCACATCCCTATGTCCTGCGATCGCCATTCGTTCCTTGATACTTGCCTTTTGACTTTCAGATATACTTTTTTGATTTTTTTGTTACACACTCATGTGATGAACAGCAGACGGGGTAAACTACATAGTCACGAGGACCTGCCGTTCTGTGATGAAACCCTATAAGCTAAGCCTGGGACTTGCAGTGGTGAATCGCGATTGATTCGGTGTGGTATTGAACCGGGCGGTAGCAGTGCTGTAATGTGGGGGTGGCGAGGCTCAAACCTCGAACCCTAGGGTCTAGAGCACGCGGTAACATCGACCCAACCTCTGCGCCACCACCACCCTGAAACGTATACGGTGACAGTGCATACTTCAAATGTTTGTGAGCAACTGTAATCGGTGAACTTCAAGGAAAATGTTCTTTGTTGTTTTGTTTGTTATAAATAATAACCTCGCAGTTGAGGTTATATGAATAACACCGGTTTTCTTCAAGACATTTCAAAACATCAGTCGCCAACAATTAGCCGTAAGAGAAAT